GTCCAAACCTGGGTTTGGAAGGGTATGTTTGACAGGAACCTTGCTTGACAGACTGGCACAACACTAATACTGACAGAACACAAGGTGAACAAAGAATAAAGAAGCCATAGATAAACCAGAAAGGTTGCAGTAGTGGATTAGTGGCATCCCAACTGAAGGGGGGTTGGGGGGGGGTTGTTTCCCTATTCAAGGGACAGAAGCCTTTTTATATTCCCAACACATCAGAGCTACCCTTCTCCCTCCGAGGCCTAATGATGACAACACACTCTATGGAACATTACAGAAACTGCAGCAAACCTGCACTTATAGCTACATGGCATTGGACCAGTCCGACGGATCTCCAACCAGATCATGATGGAAACTATAAGTAGACAGACTCTGGGATGGATCCTGAAGAGGGGGGGAGAGCAGAGATGGACATGTTCCGACTGCAGTGACCCCAACACAGTGGACAAGTAAGGACAAGTAAGTAAGGCATTGGACAGAATGGCGAGAGCCCAGCTGTTGCTGAAACGATAACAACAACAATAACATATTATCCCCAACAACTGCTCGAGGTGTAGTCAGAAAGAAAGACATTCAAATATAATAAAATGCAAATATCTTCAGATGAAATTTTTCATATCATTATTCATCCTATATGTCCTCCTTCATTCTGAGAGTAGATTAGAAACTCTGAGCATCAATTTGCAGCCCCTTTGCAATATCTTGATAGTCTTCTGCGACAGGAAGCAATGAATAAGTACTCAGATCAGGCCCATAGAGGTTTGTGGTTATCACTTTGTTTTAAGTTTAAAAAATCAATTTACAAAAGATATAATCAGGAAATTAGCAGCCACTACAAAGAATCAGACATTGCAGGAAAATGGGTTACCAAATAATACAAAAGACATAATATTTATTTAAAGAATACTTTGATCTTTCGAGATTATCTTTTATTTTTGTGTGTGTGAGTTTTAAAGTCCTACAAAAACCAAACCATTCGTTCCAAAGGCTAACCACTCAGTTTGCTAGAAAGAGCCCAGACAAACAGAGGTGAAAGAAAAGGCAGGGATAAAACACTGAAACAAATAACACACACATACTTACGAATGTTGGTGCTCAAGAGAGCTAATCCACGATTAGAAGGGTGGCTCCTTCACCAAGTGCGTAACAAATCTACTCATTAGATAAGGGTGGGGAGAAGATCCCAACATAGAGAAGTACTGAAGTACTCACCTCTGCTGAAGACTTTGTCTTGCTTGCCTCGGTTTCCTCTGCCTTCTCTTTGATGGATTTCTCTTTGTAGTGGCCACTTTTCCTGAGGTTCAGGTGGTTAGTCTGAGGGAACAAACAAAAAAATTCAGACCATGGAAAAACAGATGAAACTTCAAAAGATTCAAATTAAACAAATTTACAAAAACACATGTTAAATTTGCAGGGAACCTTGGGCTTAGCAACATCGCAAATAGAACAAAAACTTGTGGAAAAAACACAAAATTGAACCCAAAATACATCCCCACCAAAAGACAGAAACACTTGGTCAAATTTATATCAGTGTAAAACGAAATACTTATTTTCAAAAAATGTGAAAACGGTGACACAAAATCTGTACAAAAATTATTTCAAATAAAGTATAACCTTAGTATTTTCAGACCTGTCTGATCTGAAAAGTTATTCTCCCAATTTTCTTCTGCATTCCTCTGCCTTTGCTTCCTTGTACAAACCCCCCAAAAAAGTATGACGTTTTTGCAAATTGAACCAAAGCCACGAGTTCATGAAATATAAGAGAAACTTACCAAGGTCTTGTGCGTACTGGAAAGCGACTCAATCACCTCGTCCACCACACTGTCTGAGATGAGAGCAGCCATCTCCAAGTTCATCTCACTGAAGAGTTTAGTTTTAATGTATATTATTAAAGGGCCAAAGGGTGGATGTCAACAGAGAAGTCTTTACAGGGAATCGGGCTTACTCTGCTCACCTCCCTAGCTTCAACAGTACAAAGTCTGCTTCGACTATCAAGGCACCCCGGAAATAACGGGTCACAAGAGTGTGACAAATATACAACAGAAACAGAGGGAAAATGACGATAGTATAATTAAACACAACAAAAAGTATCTCATTTTAAAAATATTTCAACAGCATATCTAAATAGTCCATGTGTTGATGGGTGCTTGAATAGTGCCACTGGCAGATCCAAAATCCTTTCTTTCCCTCTATTGTTTCTGTTTGTCTGTCTACCTTTTTCTCATCCCTAGATGACTGATATTGTGTCAGCACGTTACTCCTTTCTCAAACTCAACTGGAGTTGTTCTTATTCATCAATATCTTGGCTCAATCACTTACACACCAACAAGCACATAAACAGAATCAACCCCATGTGGGAACCCCATTGCAGACACTGTGACTACCACGAAGAGACCGTTGAACATCTTCTCCTTCACTGCCCAAACCTGGCAGTTCTTCGACGCAGGCTCCTACACACACCTACAGACTTACAAAGCCTGCTCTTCTCTGGCGTTGACCAGATGACAAGGACATGTGGTTACTTGAGGGAGGCATTGCGCTGCCAAAAGCGAAATGCTCGCAGCTAAAGGGATTTGAAAACAACAACAACAACATCTTGGCTCAACATGGTTATCTATTAACATACACATCCACTGTCCACCTGTATACAAAGCCATGAGCCTTATCCACCCCTTGCTAGACCTTGAGTTTCAGTAAAGAGAAGCACAGCAACAAAATAAGTCAGTTAGAGTAGAAAAAGGCAAGACAGACAAACAGCACAGAGAAAGAAAAGAAGTAAGACCTACCAGTGGAGCTCTCAAACCACTGCCGTAGCCAGACCTCAACATGACAACGTTTAACACACCTTTTATCAAGCAGTAATAAGAATAAAATCCCTTGCTGCTTCTTTATGAAATGATAAACAATACTGACGCCCATTGGCAAGAAAGGTGTAAAAGCAGAGAAAAAAGGGGATCGTAAAGCCACTACTTTGAAGGAGTAAAAGAAATATCAGAACACGACAACACAGGATATTCACTTATGCAATGTTAACATAAACACAACTTAAAATTTCTAGCTACAGACTAGCAAAAAAGAAAAGAACAATGAATGAAATGAAAGTTATACCTGGTTGTATTATGAATGTCTGTGCTTGGTCCCTCCAAAATTCCTTTTGTGAAATCCTTTGGTAAACTGCTTTTTGATTGACACCCCTCTTTGATACTGGCTTGAAACGACTGGAATAAAAATAGAAACTTTACTAACGAGAAAAGGTTGGCAAAAACTAGAGGTTTCTGTGCAAAGTTAATATTAACCTCAAGAATTCAAAGAATCACAAATAATCTTTTACTCTCCATGTTTAACTCTCAAAGTCCTCTCCCCCCCCCCCCCCCCCATATATCTCTCTATCAGAAAATCTGTATGTTCCCCTCTCTGAAACAATGCACCTTTAAAAGGGGAAACTTCCTCTAAAACAAACCAAAGTAGTATTCATGGGCATGTTTATTTTGGATGCAATACTATGAAAATGAACTCATATTATATTTTGTCTTGCAGAAGCTGGTGAAAGCTTCCAGGCAGTTCTTTCCAACAGAAAATGAATAAAGTATAACCCTTATCTTCCATTATTATAAATAACAGCTATCAGTATTACTCAATATTTCTTACACCCTTTTGACTCCTCTTTTACCGTCCATCCTGGCATTGCCTCAGGAGCAGGTAAAATGATTCTCAATGAAAACTCATATTATTTATACTCAATTTTCAGGATCGATGAACCAAAACCAATGCATCACCCGATCAAGAACAGCAAATACAATTTTTTTTTAAATTAGAATTGAAGATACATACCTCATTCTTCATGAGAGCAGGGCAATGGTTTGACGCACATTTCAGCATCTTCTCTGTGGTTTTCTGAAATAACAAAATAAATGAACAAATTAGAGCCGAAATTAAAAGAGAATCACTTCAACACAACAACAGACATTTAGAATAGTTGTAGTACGAAAGTCATTTTCATTAGCAGGGTAGTAGCATCCCTGGTTAGCAAGACAACAGGCTATTCACATCAGCCTGCCAATTTGGAATATCTAGTAGGACCATAGAGAAACACTTATTTCATTCAGCATGATAATAATATGGGACATTTATATTAACGTGTAATCCAGTTTAGAGACCACAGGCTCCGAGCTCATACCAAATTTTGTTCCTCAATAGCCTGTCTGAGGCGGTCAGCCATTTGCTGTAACTGGACATCCACTGGGTTACCAGAAGCCTGAGATTTCAGAGCAATGTCCTGCAGACCGGGCAGTAGCTGTAATGAAAAAGGATAAAATTCAAGACCAAAAGCTAGTACCAACTGTAATATGTACAGGTCAGAGATTTTAACAAATTTGATCTGAAGAGAAAATAAAAGCACAAGACAAACATTTCCAAAGAATATCATTTTCTAGAGGATAACACCTTGGTTAGGCTTAATTTTATTTTTTTTTAAACCCACCAGTATCATATTTAAAACCACAGAAAAACTTCCAACACAAAGGTAAAAGAACTTGAACAAACATACAGACAGTCCTCACAGCTTTGACTTCTTGATGAAACACAAGACCTTACCAAAAAGAAGTAATACATACATCAGGCCAACCAGTCTAAAAGGAGAGACTTCCTATCATCACATCCTAACTCACGATCCTCCAGGCTCGTATGTCTTCATAACAGACAACACAGATTACCATCTTCCTTTTCTTTCTTCTACCTGATATACTTGAAAAAAGTCAAGCACAATTTCCAAAGATGATGATATTCAAAACCCGACATGTAATTTTCCAAACGCAAATACACGACTTATATTAATATTATTTACTCCCTTCATCTATAAAAAAAAAGATTTTAAAATATATATCGAGACTGTTCCCATTAAGGGTATCACCTTCTGAACAGCAAATGTTGAAAGTTTTTTTTAAATTTCAAAATTTTTTTGAAATTTCTTATAGGATGTATTTTCTTATTCAGGATCATGCAGCTTCCTGAACACTCACAAGACTTCACGATGGGTTAATTCAAATGAAGTGCTGACCTGTCTGGAATTGTTGGCGTCAGAGACCAGTTTCTCTGCAGAGTCCAAGTCAGAAGCAAACACATCCAGGGTGCCCAGACTGCGGAGAGCATTCACTGTGTCTTGGACCTGAACAGTTAACCGATCCACCATCTGCAACAAACCAAATCAGTTTGGACTTACTCAAAAATTAACTTGCAAAATAGCTAAGCAAGCTTAGGAGCTGTAGCAAATATTCTTTCTTTTCAATTTTTTTTGTGTGTGTATAAAACAAGCCAAATAAGCCTGTTTTTAAGCTTTCAAACTTAAAATCACACAACTTTTTTCAGTCTTTGTACGAAAATTTTGAAAAACAAATACTGCTTCACAATAATGCAGAAAAAGGTAAAAGCATAATGTGAAGGTGATCATTACTGAAAAATAACAAATACTCAAGAGAGCTAGAGACTGCCATAGGCATTAACAACATGTACTATGTATCGATCGAGTTCCACCAGATTATAACCTTGTACACATTTTCAACTCAATTTACATAATGTGTTATAGCAATTCACCCATTCACTTCACTAAATATCATGCATTTATGGACTGAAAATCGGAATATCAACTGAAAAATCATTCCAAGGCTCACGTCACACAAAATTACACTCCAAAATTATCTTGAGAGTTGAGTCTGTGTCCAATACACTTTTGTTAGACATGATGGGAAAGAGCCAACGAACTAGGAACAACAACAGCCACAACGCTGAAATGCATGAATATGATCCACTAAAGCTGTGTAGCACAAACCCTGAACTCACCTGCTGCGTGGAGCTGATGAGGAAGCCCTGCTGGAGTCTGTAGGCCTGGTCAGAGGCAAACCGATGAGGGCTGTGGTTCCTCTGTAGCAGAGACTCAATCTGTCCGGGACAAACAAACAAAAAAGTAAAAGCAGATGACAATACTATCTCAGCTTGAGACCTGATAGAATGAGAATAGAAAGAACAAAATCAAGATCAGGGAGTGCACAGAATGCTTGCACAATGAGGATTTCGTGAATGCTTAGCACGTTGTAGCACTGATGACTACACAATGTCCCAAAGAAAGCAGCATAGTCAGCTAAAAACTCACTGAGGGATAAACTAATAGAAACATGGCCGACTTTCAGAGGCCCACTAGTTCATCCTGACGATAAGCATCCCCTTTTAGAGCACAAGGAAGAACAAGGCTACTTTTACTTGTCTCCAGAGACAAACGTGTGAGACTATCGAACATCAAGATGGCACAACATACATGTAGTTTACTTAGGGTGTAAAAGCTCTTTCAACACAATCACGTTAATAAAGGGGTGGGACTTCATATCCATATGATATTGTACTACATTAAGCAAGGGAAAAGCTCTTTTGTACAGCACTTCTTTCATTGACCAGCAGTATTCAGTTGAAGCCAGCAAGAAATTTTTTTCTGTAAAAATGTAAGCTTAAGAGCATTATCAGTACCAAATTGTTGATAAAAAGGCATTCAAACATTAACAAAGATGTTTAAAGAGTTCCACTAACAATACAACAAGGCATGGGATGGTAAGGGACAAGCCATAAGTATGACGGATCAACAACAAGAATAACAAAAACGACAGCAGCAATAACAACAACAGCAGCAACAATAACAACAACAGCAACAATAACAACAGCAGCAACAATAACAACAACAGCAGCAGCAATAACAACAACAGCAGCAACAATAACAACAACAGCAACAATAACAACAGCAGCAACAATAACAACAACAGCAGCAGCAATAACAACAACAGCAGCAGCAATAACAACAACAGCAGCAACAACAACAACAACAGCAGCAACAATAACAATAACAGCAGCAACAATAACAACAACAGCAGCAACAATACTCAGCCATGAGCAAAAGCAATACCTTCTGTAGAGCAACTTCAGTTCGGTCGGGAACCATCCTGAGAGCAACTGCTGCATCATTCACCGGGAAAGGCATTTTCCTCAAAGTCAAATTTCTGGGAAGACACAAAAAGAGCGACATATCTATTGACCCAACAGTTACATGGGGAGTAAAGTTTCTATTTATGGTTTTGCTGTTTTAGTTTTAATAAGAGCTTTTATACTTGTAATACAATTAGGTCATTATAAGTTCCAAAGATTAAAGGTATTACAAAAGAATGACACAAAGAAAGGACTGTGGAGATATAAAGATGAAAGATGTCTGATAGGAAAGAAGGAGCAAACCACACCAGAGTGCTTGCCAACCAACCACCAATCTAAGGAAGGGTTCAACCCTCTAGAAGACATAAATAAGTTACTTCAAAGACAGAGTTCAGATTAGACAAAGAGTGACAAATCAACACAACAGCCATTAAGTGGAAGGGAGAAAAAAAAGACAGAAAGAAATAATTTAGGGAAAGAAATAAAGCTCAATCTATTGCTGAATTGGCTTCAAATAAAGAGACAAATATCAAAGTGGTAAAAGTCATTTAGTACTGTAATGAAGTCAGACTAACAGACAAAAACAACAGAGGGACTACAAAGAAGGACCAACTAAAAGCATCCTGCACCCACCCACCCACTACACAAACATCAATACAAATTATAAGACTGGGATAAAAATAAACAGAACTGACTTTGTGAGCGCCTCAGCCACATCTTCATAGCCTTGCGCAGAGATGTTGTTGCGATCCCACACCACCTTCCTCAGACGAGTGTTGATGAGCAAGGCTTTGGCCAACAAGCGGGCCCCAACATCTCCTAGAAGGTTCCCACTGCCAGAAACAAAAGGTCAACTGTCAAGTTCAACAGGAACGTAGCAAAAATATTTTGTCTACAGAGATCATAGCAGTGAGCAATGGTATCTTCACCCCTGATTAGACAACTTGTTCCCCATTGATCGTACCTGTCTACCGTCTATTCTATGGATTTATTTCAAATCAGAGACAACATATTAGTTTCTTAATAGACTGCATTTCACACCCATCAAATTCTTTTATACATGGTTCGGCCTTAATAACAATACGATTTTCTTCAAAGACAACAAACTGTGTTTGTTATCTTTTAACACACAGAACTAAAAGCCACACTGGCTGTAAACATAATATTGTATTTTATTTGCCTTACAGAATTGTTCACAAAAGCTTCTTCTTCCTTTTCACACAAATAGGGTGAAATCTCAAACCCTGGTGGTGTAATAGTTTGGTTTGTATGCCTGGCATGTACACAATATAAGCTAGATACACAAATGGGGGAAGATATTTCAATGACATATCTCAGTCTTTTGGCACAGATGACTCACACAGCCATGGCAGACCTAGATACAAACCATTCATAAACTTTGGCCAAAAACTAATCTTTGATTTAAAGCCAATCCCATCATTAGTGGAGCAAAGTTAGAAGATAATGAACATAGCCACAATTTCCCACCTTTATTTTCAGTTTCAACATAATTTCAAAGCCTTCTATGAAACAAAAACAGGGTTAAAAGAAAGTACTACATTACATTATTGCTACTGATCAAGTGATGCTTCGGCTCTCACCCTTCAACCTAATACCATCAACTGACAGCTGCAGGCTCTCTTTACCAGTTTTTCATGTATTAAATTAGAACTCCCAGTTCTACACAAACTCCAACTGAAATGAACATACCTGAGATCAATCTCTTGTAAGGTATTGTTGCTGCCTAAAGCGTTGATCACATAAGTGGTGTCCGTCTTTAACTTAGAGTCAGCTAAGGACAACGACTCCAAATTCTACAGAAAAAAAAAAAAAGGTATTCAAAAAAGGTGAACAAAAACACTTTTTTTAAAGTACAATAAGCAGTTTGCATTTTATCCTTCCCTGCTCCATGTGTAATAATTAAACTAAATCAAAAATGTTGTTTAATGGTACTTTATCCTTAAATAAATGTGAGAGAATTTTAAGTCTCCATAGCAAGCAATGTATTGTGAAAATAGTGTGCTTCATCTGTCTTCAAACAAATGTAAGAGAAAGTTTTAGTTAATGTTGTAAGCAGTGCGAATTTTTTAGTAAGAGTTTTAGGGCACTTGCAACAAAATTATATAACTGCCGAAGATTAGAGGTTTAAACAATACAAAACAAGAGCACAGCAAAACGATTCCAACTTACAGACTCGTCCTCCTGTATAAGTGACACTAAGGCATTCATCACTTCTTGCATATGCCTGGAACACACAATCCATGGGATATTAGAGCAGAAGAGGAAGGCTGAGTTATATTACACAAGTAATTCATTATTTTCAATATAACCACAAAGCAGTAAATAACAGAAGAAGTACTTCGAATGCCTTTAACTGCATAAATACAATCCAACAAGCTAACAATCAGCTAGAACACATTATTCATCAAAGGGTAGAAACTACAACCATAAAAAACTATAGAATTCCATTCCTCAGATCATGAAGTAAGATTATGCACCCCAAGAACAGGTGCTATACCGTACTTTCCAGGGGTCATGCTGCAGCAAACAAGCAACTCATAATCAGTAGACTGAATACAAAAATATCAGCAATATGTGCACATAATGAGATGCAATGCTGTGCATCTTCCAGAGGACTGAGGTGGCAGACTGGAATGTCCTAGCAGGCCAGGAGAGAAAGTGAAAAGTCGAATGGTCTTCCAAACTAGGGGACACCTGACCTCGCGCACTTTCACTAAACTTTTAATCATTTACAACATCTACAGACACATGACCTGCTTTAGAGCACAAAACGGCTTAAAACTGCTTTGTTCACTAGTGTGGAAAATACTCTTACTTTCAAGTGCATAAATTTAATAAATGAAAAGACCATTCACTTTTTCATTTTTACTCTTGATCTGTTTTCAATACTTTTAACAGCAAGACCATGGGCTTATTTTCTGCTAATATTTAAGGCTTGGCATCTTAAAACCAGAACCTATCTGTTCCAAATGAGACTGCATGTCAAAGAAAAGAGTAACAGAAAGACAACATAGATAAAAGTATAGATACGACTTTTTTCTCGTCAAAAGTAGACTTACTTTGGTTTGATGTTAGCAAAATTCCTCCCAATTGACAATTGTTTAAGCGAAGTGTTTTTAGCCAGTTCTGGCAGAAGAGTCCTGATATCCAAATCAAAACCTGAAGAGGAAACCGAAAACAAAATTCATATCTACCCATAAGAATTCAAATCCATACAATTTTTCATCAATCTTTATTCCGCCATCTTCTTCCAGTAGGGAGAGGATCATTTTATGCCATGTACTCATGTGATTGATGAAAACAAAATCCCTGTCAACATGGAAGAGTTCAAGCAATACAATTTTTCTACAAAGCTCTGAAAAGCCAATCCATTCAAGCGGACCGAAGAAGATCCTTTTGTGCTATCTTCATTAGTTTGAGGAAGTGTAGCACCTTACAAAGTATGATATTTTAAAGGATGAGTTCCCTCCTACCAACTTGTCTTGGCCCAGTAGGCTAGATACTAATACTAACAAAGTCACCACCATAGTATGAGACTTTGTGCAAACTTTCGGAACCTTCGGGGACTCTGAAAATACACTAGGGAGCGGGACAGAGGGCGCCAATCTCGTGACTTGAAAGAGCTGAGGAACGTAGGACTAACATGATCTAAACAAACTACTAACCAGTTGTGGTAGCCATCTCCAGTTGGGGCTATGGCAACACTTAGATGAGTAACTTACTAAAATAACCTTATAAAAGTGAAGAAACCTTCTTTTTTTTTTTTACTTATTTACTCATGTATTTATTTATATGTAAAACAATTTCCTGTGTGTTTACTCTAAGACTAACAGCTAATTTCAAAACCCAAAATGCTACACAGTTGGTTGTTATTGCTAAACACAAAAGCGCCAGATGATAGAATTGGGCAGGGTACAACAAACAAAAAAGGAAAGGATGAATACTCTGCCACCCCCACCCCCGTCTGTTCTTCCAGGACACCCTGCTGATAAGAAATATTCTGCACGTACAATTGAGACTCAACCGAGGATTCCAACCTCAAACTTGCACATTGCAGATCAAATTTGTTCGTTTGTTTGAATAAATTGAAGCACATTGCTACAGCAACAGTTACTTAGATCTGACGAGGTAAGATAGACGGACGGAAACAATAGTGGAAAAGAGATGAAGTTAGACCTACCATCGAAACCTTTCAATCACACATAACATCAGGTCTGAAATCTACTATTACTATTCATTGTATTGAACACTATGAAAACCCACACAAGCATCAGTTGTATGAGCCTAGTCAGAACATTCCGAGCACTAGACAAAAATAAAATAATAGAACAGAACAATGAACTTTACTTCCTCTTCGTCATACTCTAATGTTGATAAACAAATGATATTTAGTTTTAGTTTTAGTAGAGGGTTTTACGGCGCTCGCAACTGCATAAAGTCATATGAGCGCCAAAACAAAAACAAACAAACAAAAAAAAACAACTAAAGAATCACAATGTAACTGCAGGTCAAGGACACAGTTCGCTCACCGTTATTGCTGAGGTCAAGGCCGCTGATGTTGGTCATAGCTGCGATACAGGAAGCCATCACATAGGAGCCAGCGGTCCCAAAGTCATTGCTGCTCAGGTCAGCATACAGGGCCTTGATGTTCCTGTTGCTGGACAGGCCGAGCAGCATGTCCCTGGAGGAGCAGAAAAGATGGAGGATTTCAGCTTCAGTCAGAGATGGCTCTTGTTTGTGACACTGACATACAGTCCAACCTCCTTTAACAGCCACCTTTCCAAGACAATCACCAGTCCAAACAATCACTTCCCACTCTCTCCCCTGTTTTTTTCTATATCATAAACACCGTCCAAGACTTAAACCTGTCTAAGACAACAACATATTTCCTTGACAATGTCTTGGACAATTTTGAATGTACTTGTATGTCCATGTAGCCCTCCTAGTAGTAAAACTGTTTGTCCTTTTGCAATTAATTACCAGTAAAATGTAAATCATAAAGCTCTGAATGTATGCTTCCTTGGAACATAAATTGTTCTTTCTTTCTTATATAAACTGCCTATAATTCTAAAACAAACTAGTTTGAGACTTTGACATGGAAGCCATAAAAGGGTAAACAGTATTGGTGGACCTTCTCAAATATGAATTTAAATGTGTTACTAAATTAAAACTACATACCCAGTGTAACCAAATATGGACAAAAGTTTTCAATTAAAATACAAAAGCTATAACTCCAGCACCAGCTCCAAAAGTGGAATTTTGTAGGACACAGATTTTTTTAAACCCATATTTTATTTTGTTTGAGCAAAGAAGAGAAGCACATAATCACTACCAAAAAAAAAAATGATGGTCATTTAGTGCAATGAAAAAGCAAGAAAGATCAACAGAAATAATAGAAGGAAAGAAAAAAGTAGGAATAATCAGTGGCACCCTCCGACCACTTGAAAACATTTTTTTTAATGTTTGGTTGCGAATAAACAAACAAGGTACCCACTTGAAAGCCTCTGGCGGCAGTTTGCAGGAAGACAGATCCAGGTATTCCAAGCAGCAGATGGAGGCAAACAACATCTTCCAGGACTGCGGCACCACCACGTCCTTGGAGCGCTTGTGGCTGAACACACAGCGGGACGCCCTCAAGGTGCTCAGATTGGGACAGCCCCGCAACAAAGGGTCACACAGCTGAGAAAGGAAAGGGAAAACAAAGTTTTAAATAATTTTTATTTTTACCTCATCAGGAAAATAACCTGGAAAGATAGTGTATAACCCCCCCCCCCCCCCCCTGCCTATGATTGCTAATGCTAATGTTTTATGACCCCCCCCCCACCTTCCCTCCTCAACATAACTTAGATCATTTAGGAGGCTGACTGTTTTGATCCAACCCACAAGGGCCAGTCTGGACTAAGTGGGACATGGTATCCCAGCAAAATGACAAAGATACTCTATAAACAAGACTTTGGAATAGGAATCGGAACTGGGCGACCCCGAGCCTGACCATTACACCACACACAGCTGTATGTACAACTTCAGTATTTCTTTCCCATAGATTAGTTTATGAGAAACGGCTTCCAATTCAAACATCTGTCCTCAATAAACCAGCATTAAGCTGGAGGAGAACCATTCTTTTAAGCTCAAGTGCTCCACCTTAGGGTGTAAAACATCATTTTTTAAAGCATCTGTCAAAAACAATTTAAAACAGCATAAGTGCCCCAAAATACAAAATACATCTAACAAGAAAAATACATCTAACTGGCAACCAAAAGCTTCAATTTTAAATCTTGCAGGAGAGGAAAGAGTAACCTTAAGAACAACGCCAAAAATTAATCATGGACGATTGGCATAGATTATGTGAACAATACAAGAAATATTTTTAATATGCAGCATCACCGTGCATCCCACAGAAAGATTGTATTAACCCTTTGAACCCATTAGGCCGCAGGCCTGGGCAATATTTTGCCGTATACTGTAAGGCCGGTTCACCGGGGCACCGACTACCCCGAGTTGTGTAGTCCGTCAAAAGTATTCTGTTTATTTCTTGTTCATCGTCTTATACTATTTCCCCCTTGGAATAAGGTAAACAAAGGAGTGAACAAATGTGTGTTATTTGTTTATTTCTCCATGTTCTTCCCCTCCGACTTTTTGTGTATGTGCCCCCGTGAACTTTGATGAAATTTCCAAAAAATGTCCAGGAATAGAGATTTGAGAAATTTCAAGATTTAGGGTTCAAAGGGTTAATGTGGTACAATGGCACGTCAAGAGAGATTGATTTTTTTAAAGAAACAACCTTTTTAAAAAAAAACTTTAGACATAACTCACCGAGTCCAAAGCACAGTCTGTGAAAGACAGATCCAGGTAGGAGATGGCACTGGGCTGAGCTAGACATGTGTAGAGCATCTGTGGGCAGAAAAAAGGAATACATTTACCGTCTTGGGTTTTTTTTCATTTATGTAACGCGAAACTAGACATGTATGCACTGAGCCTAATGAACACAAAAAGATTCCTGGAAAGAGAGAGTTCTTGTCCCCAAGACATCAGAGGGAACAAAAGATGTGAGACATAAGAAAAAAAAAAGCTGAAACAATACACTAAAGCTAATATCAAACACACATAAAAAGAGCCAGAATGAGTCATTCCACTATTTCCACCTTTCGCTGCTGGTGCAATTTTTAAAAAATCGAAATCCTATACTTTATAACAAAAGTATGACTATCCTTAAAACCTGAATACCTACAGCAGACTAACAGAAAAAATTGAAAAGAAAACCTTATTTTTCAGTATCTTCAAGACAGACCTTCAGCAAAGAGTATGATAAAAAGAATTAAAGATAGGTGGAACAAACTAACCGGAAAATCTTCTCCTTTGAAGCCGTTGTCATTGAGTTTCAGCGTCGAGAGAGAAGCCAAAACATTGGGTGACTGGGACAGCACCTCGCCCACTTTGTTCAGACACCGACTAGAAATACCAGTCCGGGAGAGGTCGAAGTGGCTCAGACCACAGGGAAGGGTTTTGATAGCACCAAAGAGGTGGGTCACTCCTGTGGACATGTAGAAGTATGGTATTTCAACTTTTCGCCAGATGGTTCCGATACAATACAGCTTTCCTAAACAAGGTTCATGATACCCTGAACGATTTCTCACCAAATGGTCTGAGGCATTTCAAGATTTTGGTTCTCTCAGTTTCTTACAGAAATCAGCAAATGCTTTTTTTTTAAGGGATAATATCCAAATATATAATTAATTGAGATTCACTTCATATAATAATCTTTTATCATTACAAAAATCATTATTCCATTTTTCAGAGGTCTATACATGCACTATACATTTTTCCCTTTCATTGTACATTTGATATTTTCTATGAAATGCTTGATCCATTTATAAACTAATTTGGAGTCTTAAAGGCACATAGACATGGACACCAGGGGCCCTGTGCCTCTATAAATAAATTATTAATGGTTCATTTCGATCTTGCGTCAGAGATGATATTTCAGTCTCTCATTAAACAAAAAAGAAGCCACACGTCTCGGCAAATGACCAACCTTTGTCCTCAAGCAGGTTGTTTGACAGATCAATGTTGCTGAGCTGTGTTCCTCCGTTAGATATGACTGCCGTGGAAAACTTCTGAAGGAATTCTCTGTAAAGGTAAAAGATGCAAGTGAGTCTACAGAGACATGACTGCTGTAATGAAAAAGAAAAGACCTAGTTAAAAACACCTTAGTTTAGATTTAGTAGAGGTTTTACGGCAATCGCAAGTGCAGAAGGTCATGTGAGCGCCATTTTAAAAAATATTTAAAAACACCTTAAAATCTAATATGACTCAAAGGCTGCACACAATATGCCAACAAAAACTGATCATAACGCATTCATGGGCTTGGAAACGAGAAGATAAAAATATAAATTATCCACCAAACATGCCTGAACATATACAGAATTGAACTCAAAACTTTCGCATGAGAGACAACTACTGGCCTCTAGATGAACGAGCTCCAGTCAGGAAGACAACAGCTTTACATGGCCATGAAAAAGAAAGAAAAAAAACAAAGGAGAAAAAGCTCACACTTTGATCCCCGTGTTGCTCAAGTTGACCTCTTCAATCACAGAGTTTCTCCTCATCACCTTCACCAGCTCGTTGCAGGCCTCTACAGTCTAGGGGTACAGAAAAAAAAACAACCTGGTAAATCCAAGATACTCTTCTAGTCATTACACCAATTAACACTTTGCTTTTCGCCATTTCTATTCTTTGTAGCGTACTGAGCTCCAACGAGAAACTCCAACAGCAAGCAAAGTGTTAACACAATATATACAATCAAATGGAAAATGGCAACCACTTCCATAAGACAACCACCTGCATAGTGAAAGAAGTGGCAGGAAAATCAGAAGCTCTTTTTGAGCCACAATTCATACTGTTTCTGCTTCAGTAGCCACTTCATTGTAGAAAGGTCATTCATATTCCGTCCCCTTTTCCCCCAGAGTATCATTATCAATCAAGCACTGACCGAGATGAAATAGTGGAAAAACAAAACTTATTACTATTTAGTAGTTAGTGTACCACAAAAGATATGGGTACATAACAAATCCCAAAATAACAGTGTACACAAAACTATCTAAATCAAGCCAGGTGAAATTACGCAAAATCAGTGGGACATCCAACACTGCCCACGTTGTCACGACGATCAAAGTTAATGCAGCCAGACTCCTAAATGTTCTAGAATACTTTCATGGTGCTGTTCAAAAATACAACATCTCAAAAGCTCACCAGTTTCACATTGCTGGCATTGATTCCCTTAAACCAAGTGTTGTGTTCCAAGGCTCCAATGATCGGCACCAGATCCCTGAAGACAAAGACAAAAATACCCATCAGGAAAAGAGAGCAAAGACATTTTCCTTTTATTTCAAAGACAGTCTGAAGATAACCATTATCTTTATATTTGGTAAATATAAAAATCAATAGCAAGAAAAGCTTGTCTACTTTCAAAGAGAGGTTTATGACCTTATAATAATTGATCGCTTTTAAGGACAAGCGGGCTAACCAAGATTTCAGGGGTTTCCAGAAATCTTGACTTACACCAAAAGTGGGCATTGCCCACCTATAGGAGAAGTTTGGTTTCATAAGTGTGTATATTTGTTTGGTTATAGAGAAAACACTCCTTGTCTTTTAAAGAGACTGAATAAGAATCCAAAAACTTTAACTTTGATTTTTCGGGATAGCCCGCTTGTCCTTAAAAGCGACCAATTATTCATCAACAAATACATTTGGACACAAACAAGCCCATTGGCTGGCATGAAGATACACCTAAACAACAAGAGAGCAGTAATTATTTCAACTGTTCTAAGTTGCAGTACATTCAATTTCACCCAAGTTAGAGAGAACAAACAGTAAAGATTGAAAAAACTGATGTTAAAAAAAGGACCCAAAAATGGCAACCTCCATCCATACACTGAAGGTTTAGACCAGTACAGTCAAGGAATTTTAAGTAACAGGAAAGAAAAATTAATACTTACTTTCCAAGCAAATGATCAAAATCTTGCAGTCTCAGAATTCTTGTGTCATGAGACAAGTAGATTGTGTCTACATCCTGTCAAAAAAACAACACAAAAAGTAGTTTTAGAAAAGGGAGAAGCAGTTGGAAAAAAAAAAAGACGCTACAGCTAAGATATCGTCATATTACTTCCTATGAATCTCTGTGGTGGAATAAACTATTTTTTTTATACACGCACAAAAGACTTAACAGTAAGTGACATCTCCGATTTGTAAGGCATAAACACTACATCATTCATACAGATTTACGACCGTTTACTCAGTGATTAAGTTGACGTCCGTCATCCATCTGTCCGCCTGTCTGTCTGTCTCTCCCCATCCCTCCCTGCCTCCCTCACATTGTGAATATATAAACACAAACACACACATGAATACACACACACAAACACACACATGACTAAAAGACAAGAAGCTAAAAGGTGCCAAACTGTCACACAATACATCTTTTTCAACAACTAACTTTAAACCCATTTCTAACACAATGAGTTCTTCACACCTACCCATGAGACCTCATCCCTGATGGGCAGGTTGTGGTAATCACACATACAGTTGTACATGGCGGTGAAGCCCCCACACGGCCCCGGATCCTTGCTCTCCAGGTTGTGAATCATGTCGTACATCGTCTTCAGCCTGTCCGATGGCTGCACATCTAGCTTTATGATGAGTCGTCTTTTGGGTATAAGCAAAAAATTAGGAATGAAACCTTTTTTAAAAACTGCCATTGTTATTTTCATACCTCCTACATGTAGGGAACAAAAATAGTAGAATGAAATGTTTTATAAAAGATGTTGCCATTGCCATATCCACACCTCCTACATCTTCATTCTCATATCCAAATCTCATTTCTCTAAACATATACATTGTCTGTCTCATATTCAGACCCCAAATCTCCATATATGGACATCATCAATGTCATGTTCACCTATCTCCATATACATATAAACCCAGCCACTGTAACGATTGTACTATTTATCACCATGAGAATATATATGTAGATAAAACATTAAAGTAGTACAACGACGATATCTTTATGGCTGAATTTGCAAAAGAATAGCGTGTAAACAACTGCACTCTTTTAGAGGAAAAAAGAGGTCTGGACAAGACAACAACTATCTTCTACTAGAATAGATCTTTTAAAAACCTGCTATACAGGGGAAAGAGCTGTACTCTCTAGAAGACTGCACTTGAATGTAAAAAATATTTAAAAATGTTTATTCACTTTTGATGTGTAAAGCCTTCCCCAATACTATTTATTCCAGACCAGCAAAATGAAAAAGAACAAAGACAAACAAAATGTCAGACAGTCTTGTGGCAGTGCCATCCTCTTCCACAACACTCCTCTCCCTAACAGTCCCAGACACGTGGAGTTCCAAGAATACCCCAGAACTCACTCAAGAGGGAATGCTGGAAAGATCTGTTTGAGACTGATGCCAATGTGCGTTATGATGTGGTCCATCTCATCAGACATTGGTTCAATGGAGCTGAACACATACGACTTGCCGTCAATGGTCACAGTCATCTGAAACAGACATTGTTGCATTTACGTTCTTACTGATGGTGCCAAATGGCTATCTAAAAATTCCTGAACTTTTCAGACGGAGATAATCAATAAGAGTAGGCCACTGCCCAAGCAAAATTCAAAATTAATTCTTCTACCAAACTGAAATGAAATATGTTCAATGTGTCCCACACCCTCATATGATCATATGTATTTGCCAGCGCTATAAATCACTTACTAAAACAAACAACCAACCAAGATCCAGTGGAAACGCAGTTTGGGACTGAAAATTGACTGATCATACTGCATAATCCATGTTGTATGAAGACTAGTTTACATCAAGTGCAAAACCCGGACAATTTCAGAAATCCAGATTTCTGAATTTATCCGGAAAAAGGGCAACTCTCGGTTAAGTTCATGGTAAGTCAGTGTGATATCAGAAAGAATAGACTAGAACAAGAGAAAACATTAAAAAGAAGCAGAAGGAGCAAACCACATTAATTAGAGTATTAGAATATCCATTAACTACCAACTTGTTTGCATGAGTTCTTGTAAATTACATCAAAGACTACATAACTCATTTACGGGTAATAAAATAGTATTCGACATATAAATATTACAGAAATAACACCCACAAACGGCGCTTTCAAACCCTCCAAAAGGTAACATAAATGCTTGTACAACAATGCAGCGGGGGGGATATAATGATGGAGAGTGACTTGGAAGACCTCTTTGCACAGACATTACAGTTCAGTTCCATAAGTATCAACAACAGTGGAATTTGCATAAATATAAAAATGGAGTTTTCTAAAATACATTAACAAGAGACTGACAATCTGAAAGCAGTAGGCCCTCCACATGATACAGCTTTGCTTTGACGATAGACCTACAGGAAGTACATATTGGCCGTACTACGTCCCTCCCTTCAGATCCTGACTTCCAAGGGAAAGACACAGTCAATATGTAGAAAATTGACGAAGGTATAAGGGATGCTTTACTTTTAAGAAGGTTTATTTTCTTTAGTTTTGCTAAGATTTTTATGCACTTGAACACAATAAACTCATAAAAGTGCTGTAGATTAGAGGTATTCCTAGGAGTAACATACAAAGAAAAGAAGAAATGATATAGACCATAGATGTTTGACAGGAAAGAATGAGTAAACCACATCTGAGCCAACATCAACCATCCACTTTTACAAGTATGATAAAGATATTTTTGGTATACAAGCCTTGTATGGATTTTTATCCAGCGTAACAGAATTTAAAAGGCTTGCAAATGGGGAAAAAAAACAGGTTCTGTATATTCAACGTGTATCTTGTAACCCCTTATGTCCGCGAAAAAACCCTTACAATGGTAAAACCGCACAAAATCCTTAAGGATATCCCAGGGGTAATGTTGCGAATGCGAGATGCCTCACTTCACAGCTGTGCACCCAACACAGAAGTAATTAATAGCATGATTTAAACTGAGTATGCTTCGAGGTTTACAGGCTTTTACCTGATTCGTTTTCTTACTCTCGATGCCCTGAATGTCCAAGAAATGAAAGTTGTTTTCCATCTGCAATACAAAGATTAACAAAAAATTAAAATTCAAAACATACTAAAGACAACATGCTACTTCATGCCAATATGGAAGAGCTCAGTTGAGTTTATAAAGAGAGAGAGGCTGGCAAATAATTAACTTTTATGTGATCAAACTGCTCCAGACTTCCACTTCTTAGGGGTCAGTGATCCATACCAAAAACAATAAAACAATACCTAGAACAATAGAACAATACTGAGAAAAATAATAAAAATGACAGTTACAAGAACAACAAAGACAAACACTTTGCAACAAACACACAAGTACATATATATGAGAGAAAACTGATCAGTAATATGGGAGCAAAGTAAGTAAGCATCAAAGCTCTCTGTAACAGTCTGCTTTGGACAGTTTAATATTTGACTACAAAAACAGCTTGTAATAGAAAAGAGTGCTAAGCCCAGTAGTAAGAGCCAAGAAGAAATATAATAGAAGAAGGAAACACACACACACACACACACACACACACACACACACACACACACACACACACACACACACACACACACATGCCTGGGTAAATATTAAAGTTATTTATTCAAATGACATATTTCACCACTGCAGTGGCTAGTCTGCTTTTTAAGAACTGTATATGTCACCCCCCCCCTCCCCCCCACCCAAAGTGATATTTTACTTTCTTGAATTAAAAAGATAAAAACTTCTATTCAAATAAAAAGAAAGGCAATGTTATGTAAAACCCCACCTCAGAATTATACTTCCTCGTTCCATTTCTAAAACTCAACCAAGCTTGACAGAGGAATAACACCAAGGAATAGGCTTGCAGAAAGTATACATGGACTGGAGACTTCTAGATTTACCTTCCTGCTTGCAACAGGAAGACAGTATTAAAATATTCTTATCAGCTCTGTACTGTCAAGTGGAACTCTTAGCATGTTCGAAAGGAGAGTTCACAAAGCCACTTCATGGCTAGATTATACAGCATGTACCTCATGGTGGAATGCAAAAAGTGTCAGCTTAAAAATGGAAGTTCAGTAAAAATGTTTCACCAGGCTTCTCTTCCATATTTTCTCTTCCTTTGCACAAAATAAATTGAAATATATCTTTTAAAATACTGACTTTTTAGTGTACACCCAACACAAGCAGGTCATTTTAAGGGCAAGCCATTTTGTCTTGACCACACCCTAGAGGGTAAAACAGCAGAACAAAAGCCATGGCTATTTAATCACACTAGATACGGAGAAGAGAGGCCACTCCTGCACAGCAATAGTAGTTGTAGAGAATGAGCGGCACCCCACAAGAGGGGGAGCACAGATAACAATGTGACCAAGTGCAAATAATAGAATAAACAAGTGAAAAGATAAAATAATAATAACAATAAATAGCATTTGTATGGCGCATGTTCCCACTCGAAAGCAAGCTCTATGCGCTTTACACTATATTATATAAAACTCTCAAGAAAACACAAAGACTGCATAAAACAAACATACCCTTGAAGGAACTTTAGCAGTGAAAATGTAGAGCCTGTGCTGAGAGAATACCTGAGGGAACAGAAAGCATTTCTTTAAAAATATCAAACTGGCAGAGTACAAATATTATAGATAACAACATGTAGAAATATATATATATATATTACATATCTATATATATATATCATAAAATCTGGAAAAACATCACTCGCTTTTGGTAATTTAGATGTATAAATATCTAAAACATTCATACACTCTATTTGTCAATTAGATGTAAAGTTGTTGTAGTTATCATAGCCAGTCAGAATGTTTACCATCACATTTCACCAGAACAAAGTGAGTAAGACAATAATAACAATGGACTTGGGAGAATTCCATGAAAATCAGCCCACCAATCTGCAGTCTCGTGGGATGAAATGAAGAGGGACAAAAAGAGAAATCAGCTCTTGAAGAACATAAGTTAGTTTTGAAAAGTTATAGGATACAAAAGACTTGTCCCTACAATGTGTCTTTGCCAGAATCAGTCCCTTCACCAAGATGGGCTCATGAAAAATAACACAATAAAATAAACACAACTTATACATAAATAAAACAATATCAATGTAGTCATAATCGTTTTCTTCTTCAAGTGCCAGATTGGAAACAGACATCAGCAATCATTGTACTCTACCCATTTTTCAGCTCAGATATTTTTATAAAAGCATATGTACTGTCATGTTCTTTACTCATCATACATTTGTTCAAGTTCTTCAAGTTATTTTCGGTCTACTTCTGCCCCATTTACCTTCTTAGTTTTAGTTTTAGTAAGGTTTGACAGCACTCGCAACTAACTGCATAAAAGGTCATATGAGCGCTAAGGAGTGCATGTCAATAGAGAAGTCAAAACAGGGAATCAGGTTAACTCCGATCACCCCTCTAGCCTCAACAGCACAAAGTCTGCTTCGACTATAAAGGTACCCCAGAAATAGCAGTTCACAAGAGAGTGACAATCATACCAAAGAAGTAGAGGAAAAATGACGATAGTAAGGAAGAGGAAAGAAAAAGCAGCAGTTCCCCTTTGTAGTTCCGGCACAGTATGAGCATGACATTGATAAATCAGTCTATTTACAATTCTACTGTGCATAAGAACTTGTAAATATCCCCCCTTTGGGGATGGCCTAAAGACACTTCAGTCAGTAGCACTGCCCTGGGGGGGGGGGGTAAATCCCTTACTTTCACTTTCAGCCATAACAATATCCTGAAGTAACTGAAGGGTTTTTTTACTCCTAATGTCAGTATATGAAAAAATGCCTAGAAATGATTTGTTCGGACAGCTGATGAGCAAAAAGATATATGGACTGTATAAAAAACAAAACAACACAGATATTATATTATTCTGAAAAGGTGAAAGACAGGACTTTTAGAACACACCGGGTGAGTAACTGTTCAAATTTTTCACATAATTTTCTTCAAGTTTTCATTTAGAGATAAATGTCAGTGATACTCTGAAACAAAATCTTTTCAAATCAGTTCTTTGCTTGAAAAACGTTTTCAAACAAGACAATGGTAACCTTACCAGGACTCTGTTTTCACTTTTGTCTCCCCTTGTATCCATCTTGACCATCCTCTTGAGGGTCGCTTTGACCCTTTTGTCCAGCGCATCTCTGATGCTATCTAAAAACAAAGTGAGTGGGAATCAGCACAACACTCAAGGCATGTTGACCAATTTTTGACAATCTTCCTGGTCTGCATATTTTTATACTCATTTGTTGGATTCAGTTGATAAGTTTTATTAGGGATTAAAATTATGGTAGAGGCAGGGGTATGGGAAGGGTTGGGGTACTGGTAGGTCTGGGTACGGTGAAGGATTACACCCTAACCCTACCCTTACCCCTAACCTAACCCAAGCTTTTACCTTATAAGCCCAAATCTAGCAAATGTATAAAAATCTGCACATATGAAAGATTCCCAATTTTTTTTAGCAAAAGAAAATTGCCACCATACAATCAACTCCTGCTGAACATTTTTAATTTCCACACATTAACAGACAATTTTGAACCATCATGACTCAAGCTGTCAGCCAAGTTATGTGGACTAAGGTACAACAGTTAGTACTGTGACTAATCCTCAAATACAACAGACAACCATTCAACACAACCAGAAATGTTGTCCACAACGCAAATTTACTCTGTGAGAAATTAATAACTTTAATCTGACAGTCTATTTCAAATCCAGTTTACAATTATATTCAGTCCTTTGAGAATATGATAAGGAGATCTAAAAAGCAGTACTTTATTTTATACTGCTGTTTAAATCATATAATATGATTCAGGGGATTAGTCATTGAATGTCGAATCATGATGACATACAATACATATTATGTGTGGATCAGATACCATTTAAAAAATCATTCAATGCACTGGGAGAAATGAACAGCTCTCCTCCATTACTTAAAAATAACGAAGTGACTATTTCTCCGAATGCTCGGGAAAATAAACTTGACCTCTATTTCTCCTAACGGTTTCAGCTCTCGAGATTTATTTGGTTATTTGAGAGATTTCGGCGTCATCTTTCATTCTGCCATTCTGCGAGGACTTTGAGGAAGCATTTTATGCATCCAATTCAATTTCTAGAGCTAGATTCTAGAGATATTTAAATGTCTAAATATTCAGATACTTCAATAGAGTGGTTGGGGCAACGTTCCCGGACTCTTCAATTGGAATTAATGCCTTCAAAAGGTACTGCGAGAAAACACAAGACAGCTCGACTTTGGCAGTAACCTATTTTGCATTTAGTCACCCCTAAAGCAAAAACTAATGAATTTTTAAAAATCCCTCCAGGCAACCCGCCCCCCCACCCCCACCCCCCACCCCTCCCCCTCCTGTTCACATGGAGGTAATGAGAGCACACTACACAGGCTTCTGATAGGCTAAAATATATAATGAAACGACGTCACGAGGACGATAGCCTACAGAGGCTTCTGATTGGTTAAGTATTATTAGATCTAGAGTCATTTAGACTACACGACGTAGGCTATTTTACAAAACATTAATTAACAAGGAACTTGAACAACATGTCCTATAGTTGACACAGGGGGTAGAAACTAGTGAACTACAGACTACTGCAGTTTTTATCTGTTGATCTTTGCCTGGCCTCTGCTCTACAGATTTAGAGATCACCAGCAGACACTCGCTTGCTAAATGGTGACCTATATAATTTCCGACTACATTCCACTAGGCCTAAGGTCATAGTAATATTACCAAATTTGTATGTGTACATATATATATATATATACGTTGCTATAGCCAATCAGGAGCTGCTGTACTAAGGCTGTAGTGTGCTCTGGTTAGCTCCATACTCCATGACCATGTTCCCTGTTCACACTTTAAACACACACACACACACACACACACACACACGCGCGCGCGCGCGCGCACGCACGGGCCACTCCATTCGCGAATAACCAAAAAATCTCGAGAACAGTTCAGAAACCGTAGTTGTTAAGAGAAAATAGAGAAGTTTATTTTCCCAAAGGCCACCTCTATTCTCACCCGGAGTGAGAATAGTGCAGGCGAGTCCTGTGGCTATTCTCACCCGGTGCGCGTTCACCAAATTTTGCATTCACCCTAAACCACAGAATTCTACACTGTGATAACAGAAAAATTGTAGAGCGTTCTGTGCCGTGAACAAACGTTCATTTACAATGTAGCCTACTAAAAGCGTACAATTTTGTCTGTGGGCAGTGGAGAGAGAGAGAGAAAGAGAGAGAGGAGTAGCGCGAGAATTTCCGAGCAAAACAAAATGGCGACCCGTATAGTTCGGCTCGATTCGAAAAGTTAAATAGCTGTAGCATCTTTGTAGACAACCAAATTAATTTACTTTTGTATTTTAACATCATTTTTTAACTTTGTTTTGGTCAATTTGATCGTCCACACCGATAGACAGTATTCAGAAAGAGACAGAGAGAGAGAGAAGAGGGGAGGAGTTGTTGATCTTGCGAGAACTTCCGGGCGGGTGAGAATAGCCACTTTCTTCCCAAAACCAAGTCGAGTGTTCGGTGAAATAGAGCCGGCCAATTTTTAAAGTCTGGAATTGGAGTAAAGTCAACAAGATGCACAAGCTTAGAAGCCTCAGATTCCTGATCTAAAAAAGGCATCTATTATAGCAGACACTCTCCCACTCCCAAGAACAGACTTAAGGCTGTTGTCTGCGGTCACTTTCAGTTTATTGTTGACACTGGTTGATAAAAAAATAACGGGAGTCCCCCTCCTACCTTGAATATCTCGAGGAAGATTGTTAACTGCTGCCATGTTTGACACAAACGTCCAGAATAAAAACAAGGAAAATGTCAACAGCCACAAATTGTGGCTTCGTTCAACACGAAGAAAATGATTTTTCCACCAACTGTCTCCACCTATCACACTCTGCAGTTCAAGATTCTTTCGGCTACCACTTGTAGCTCGCCATCTTTAATCCTATCGAGACTACTTCCGTGTTTGGCGACCTTGAACTTGAGGTAAATATAAAAGCTATTATCACGATCATGGGGCAAAAAGAAAACGATGGTGAATCCAAAAGCAAATGCACATGTAGGGCCTAAATAATATCATAGTACAATGTATTAGGCTACAATAAGCAACTTAGATTGATCTTACTTGGGCCTTGAGCCTGTGGGCCTACTGATTAATTTATAAAATGTTTTTGTCTCTTTCATTTGTATTGCGTTTCAGTTTGTGTAGCTGCTTCATATTCTATGCTGTTTATATTCATGGTGCCATAATATTATGATGGGTAAGGGGCTAGGCCACAGAGAAGTGTGTAGGCCCAGGTAAGGGGGGGGGGGTAAATCACTTTGGGGTAGATTTGAATATTAGGTCCTATAGGCTACATGTGCATTCCGGTATAATATTGTTGCATCGGAATACTGCTGCGTGTTGCTAATATGTTTGTTTGTTCTTTGTCTTTTGGTTTTTGTTTGTTGTTGCTTTTTTTTTTTTTTTTT